AGTTGTACCTTAGATGACTGCTTGCAAGCTTTTAAGGCCCCAGATGCTACTCACCAAACTAGGATATAGAACGTAAACTTTATGTACTGTATTATGCCAACTGACCGAGCTGCCCCATGAGACTATGGTCCTAAGCCTTCAGACCCCATAAACCAATCCTGTGAGGTGTTTGGTTAAGTCTAAGAAGTATCTATGTGTATACCACCTATGTACTTTATTGTATGTATGAAAATATATACAATATTTGTGTGTGTGTGTATATATATATACATCTGCATATAGATCCATCTGTATATGCCCTGATGTCATAGTGGTTATGAGCTACGGCTGCAAACCAAAAGGTCAGCAGTTTGAATCCACCAGTCACTCCTTGGAAACCCTATGGGACAGTTCTACTCTGTCCTCTAGGGTTGCTATGAGTTGGAATTGACTTGACGGCAACGGATTTGGTTTTGATTTTATATATGCTCATATATATGCACACATATACATACCTAAACACAGTACTGATCCTTTTAAGCTATTGACTTATGCAGTGTACCTTGGGTTACTTCTAGTGACCTTGGAGGTGGGACGAGTGTACAGTTATAGGATTGAGAAGATTTCCATCCCTGTAATTCTAGGGAGGCTGGGAAGGCAGACTGGCAAGTTGTGGCTGCTTCCTAAGGCAGAAACAGGGAGGAATCAGCTGGAGTATGGTCTGTGTGTGGCAGGGAGAAGGCTCCTGTGTCAAGAACACGGGCTTGAGAGTCAGTGAAGTGGCAGTGAGCCCAGGGAGAGGGTAGGTAACTGTACAGCTTCCAGTGTGATCCCGTCCATGATCCCATCGGTAAGCTTAATATGCTTAGGAGAAGCTAGGCTGCAGTAGATTAATTTTTTTCAGCTTCTGAAGAGAAATACAGCCAGCAAAGATGAGGAAAAGAGACTGAGAAGACCAGAAGGCATTAGGTTGGGAATCTGTAGATAGAGTAGTTGTTGTTACCTGCCTTCGAGTTGGCCCTCGACTAATGGCGGCCCCATGCACAATGGAACGAAATGCTGCCCAGTGCTGTGCCATTCCCAGATCAATTGTGAATTAGACCGCTGTGATCCATAGGGTTTTCACTGGCTGATTTTTGGAAGTAGATTGCCATGGCTTTCTTCCTAGTCTGTCTTAGTCTGGAAGCTCCAGACTCGGAATTGAACATGTGGGTCTCCTGCATGGAAGGTGAGAGTTCTACCACCGAGCTACCAGTGTCCCCAAATATGATAATACAGGCCCTAAATTCTCACAACTGGTATAATCAAAAGTTTACCTAGATCTCCACAGGGCTGTGAAGCTCGCAAATAGTATCTGTGAGTTACAAGCAATTTAAGCTTCATCACTTTATGAAACTAGAAATAGATTCAAACAGAAGCTCCTCTTCTGACATGAAATGACCAAAGCTGTAAAAATGTTTGAGTAACTTTGCAAAAAGCCGGGTTTGGATGGTTGGATAAGGTTTTTTAGCAGTAAATTGGAATGAGCTTCCTGAGCAACTGCTCATCTTCGTATGGATGAGTGGAAATGTGCTAATTGGCCATGTCTGTTTGGGAAAGGTTTAGTAGGTATGAGAGTGGCAGAAAGAAATAGACATTTAAAATGTCACATCAGTTACATTCATGCTAGCAGTTACTGCAAGTGGTGAAAGGACACCAAATTTATTCAGAATGCCAGGCTCCCTTTTTAGTTGTTTTAACCTTCCTTTTAGTGTTTGGATCATTCTGCCAACAATGGGCTTTAAAAAATAGGCAACTGGTTTTAAAGACCTCTGTAAATGGAGAATGAGTTCATACTTGTTGTTTGTACATGGCAGAAGTAATTAGGGGGCCTGTGGCAGGCTCTTTCATTCTTTAATATGTTTATACCCAAGGAGACTGGAGAAAAACTCAATTCTGAAATATCTTTTATCTTTTCATTAAGTGATGGTAGTTTAAAAAATATATTAAAAAGTGGGTACCCTGTGACCAGGCCTCTGTCTGAAAAACAGAAGAGTACAGAATAAAGTGAAAACCAGTCAAAGAAAAGTTTGAGGTTTAGAGGAGATTTTTAACATTTTACTGTATTATTATTATTTTAAGATTAAACACACTTTTTGTTTCCAGCTCCACTTTTGGAGACCTGAATTGTATATAATTAAATAGGTTTTTTAAAATTTGATTTAGATGTTTAAATTACGCTTTATTTGTGGATTTCTTTTTTGTTTTTCTGAAAGGTAAAAGTGTCTGTGTGTCACCATTTCTTATAGGTGGTAATGTCCTGCCGCACATACCATTTCCACTGCTAAAAGCCATGTGGAGAAGGAAGGTTGTAGTGGGGAGAGGGAGTCCCTGATGGTATAAATGGTGGCTGTTAACCAAAAGGTTGGAAGTGCCTCAGAAGAAAGACCTGGTGATGTACTTTAGAAAAAATCAGCCCTTAAAAACCCCATGGAACACGGTTCGACTCTAACACGCTTGAGGTCACCATGAGTTGGAGTCAGCTCCACGGCAACTGGTTTTTAGCAGTGTGGGAGAGAAGGGCAACTGTCCCTTTATCTTAATGATTTATCCTGATAGCATGCAGTCAGAAGCACAGTTATTTTAAAATGAATGATCTGTGAAGTATGTTTTAGGAAAATCCAGGAACTTTGAAAACACCCACACTTTATATAAGATAAATAGTGGTTGCCTCTGGGAAGGGAAGTTGGGGATAGTGGTGAGAGAGAGATTTACTTGTTGTGTTCCTGCTTTGGTGACTTCTGGCTTTTATACCTAATGTGTGTATATTATATATTGAAAAAGAGAAAAAGAAAAAAAAATTCCACTCTAAGCACTCCCATCTCCTGACACCTACCACCCTGCTGCTAAGGATATTCTGGGATTTTCTATGGTCCCCCTTCCCCCACTTTCTTTTGCATCTGAAAGAAATGCTTTCTGAATTCATTGACTTTTCTTCCTCATCTCTAATTTTGAAATCTCTACTCTTTTTACTAAAGTCACCAAAGCTTTCTTACCATGAAATGCAGTAACCTCCTTTGAAACCTTATTTGACCTTTCTGGGTCACTGGAGACTTTCACTCTCTCTTCCCGGCACCCCCCCCCCCGCCCCC